CCCCCCCCCAACCCCAGCCCTGAGGGCAGAGCTGGCTCACGGATGTGTCCTCGGCTTACAAACGCAGTTCTCTGGTTCGTCGGAGGACTTCGCCGGCTGGCACTGGCCGAGCCGGGACCCTACCTGTCCCATTCCCGTAGCAGGGCTGAGACTCCTGCTATCTGGCCCTGGACACGGTGCCTGGCCCATAGTAGGGCTCCTGAATTGGACAGAAACGCAATGAGAAGCCAAAGTGTGGGCCAACCCGGCTACCTGCGAGCCTGAGCTGTCATCCCTAGCCCCAGAGAGCCCCGACGTCGGAAGTGAGGCCTGGGGGCGTGCTGATAGCCTTTCACTCTCTCTTTGCAGCATGAACGTGCAGGGTGATTATGAGCCAGTCGATGCCACTGGGTTCATCAATATCAACTCCCTCAGGTGAGCAGCTCTGGGCCCTGATGGGTCTTCGGACCCCCCAGGTGTGGGCAGCAGGCTCTGATGGGACCTCAGCTGCTCCGACCACTGGCCTGTCCTAGAGAAGCCCCATCTTCCCGTCCCTCTGCCCACAACATCTTCAGTGCCTGCTTTGGGCCCAGCCTGCTCCTATTCTCAAAGGGACAGAAGGCATAGCCGGAAGCCACACAGGGCCCTGGGTGCTTGGGTCCCCTGTTTCTGGGTCCTACCCTTTGCCTCACTCACTCCCACCCTCTCCAGCTGCAAGAAGGACTCCACTAGGAGTCCCTTTCCTGGGCAGGTTAGAAAGGCAAATGGCCCAGAGGTAGAAGGGAACCTCAGAAAGTCACCGGGCCAGAAGGCACCTGGTGCCTACCTGTCACCAGACCTGAGCTGCAGGTCTGGCTGGAAACCATCCTAGCCACGTGGATGCCCATGGCCTAGTGGGATAGCATGCATCAACTGAAGCCACTCAGACTTGGGTTCAGATCCTGGCTCTGCAGGATGGTCCTCCGATCCCTTCTGGATCCCTGGGAACACAAATGGGGATATTGACCATAGCCACCTCACAGGTGTGGCATAAGTTTGCATGAGTCCCAGGAAATCAAGCACTCAGCCCAGACCCTGGCCTGCAGGAAGAGCTCACGGGCTCAGCCCGGGTGTAGCCCGGGGAGGGGAGGGGCACGCACAAAGGCAAGCAGGGTCATTTATTACCAGCAGCTACCATACACTCTTCCAGGCACTCTCCTGGGTCGTCCCATTGCATTCTTAACACAAATTTGCAACTCCAGGAACAGGCCCAGAGTGGTTAAGTAAGCCATCCACAGTCACACAGCTAGGAAGCTGTGGACCTAAGTCCAGAAGGTGTGTCTGTCCAACTCCCAGTTCTGCGTCACCAGCTTCCTTCTCTCCCGGCTTGGCATTGGGAAGAAGGCACGAGTCTCTCTTGTCTCCCTGACACATGTCCTGGGCACAGAGCCACCATTTTCTCCCAACGCCAGGCTCTTGTCCCTGGAGCCGAGAGACTGGGAGAGACGCTGAATCCGGCTGACCTTCCCGGGGTGCTCTCCACTCCAACAATCATGTCCACATCCCCCCCTCCCGCCTCCTTCGCCCTCTGTATTTTATGACTATAAACCCTTTTAAATGGCTCCAAACACATCGGGTTTTCATAATGGCCTCTTCATTTCTCCCATTGCCAGTTAAATGCTTTGTCTTCAACAATGCCAAGCAATGTTTTCCCCCAAAGATAAATTAATTACATTATCCTGATTGGAGGGCAGGAGGGGCCAGGGCAGGACTGGGAACAGAGGGGGAGAAAAAAGACAACTTCACACACATCTTAACTAACAGCTGCCCCCGCCACCCAGGTTCTGCCTGAATTAATTGAATGGAGTGCATGTTGTTATTGTTAATTTACATTTTTCTTTGTTTTCAATCTGGTTTACAGGCTGAAGGAATATCATCGCCTCCAGAGCAAGGTCACTGCCAAATAGACAGGCTGACAACGAGGAGCTGGGCCTCCTCATTTGCCCATCTCCCAAGTACAGGCGCTAATTGTTGTGATAATTTGTAATTGTGACTTGTTCTCCCAGGCTGGCAGCCTGGTGGGGCTACCAGGCCCGAGCTTTGTTCCCTGCTCCCCTGTAGCCTGCCGAAGCGGTCATCGGAGGGAAGGGTGGAGGCAGCTGCTGTGGGGAGATGTAAAATGACAATTAAAAAAAGATACATGAGTCTTCTGTTTCTTTATTTCTGCAGAGAGGGTGTTGGGGGGGACGCGTGCGCGCGCGTTTGTGTGTGTGTGGGTGTGGGTGTGTGTCAGTCATGCTCCTCTTAGTCCAACCTTGGTGTTTTCTGATTTAAGCGCTGCCAAAGTCACCTTTTGCCCAGGAACCTGTTTCTCTGGAAGGATCGGAGGCTCTCTCCCCCAGCGAAAACCAGGGAATCCAGATATGCCCCCCTGGGTCGGCCTGGCATTTTGTCACCGACTGTGGCCCCGTGCCGTGTCACAGGGGAACCAAGGAGAGTTTGGGTGACATGCAGGAGAGCTGTCCTACCATTGCCCACAGAGAATTGGGAATGGCGGCCACGACCGACCACACGAGGCTCCCCCACCACAGCACAGTAGCCTTAAGTACCCTAAATTGTGGAGGAGGAGGGGCCCCCAGTAAGAAGAAAAGCCTGGCAGAGAACAGAAAAGGACAGGCACAAAACTTTAGCGGACACTCTTGGGGGAGGCCACTTGGCCTACAAGGTTCCCGCTACTGCTCCTCCACCAACCCAAAGCGGCCATGTCTGCACAGTGACTCCGCCCCCTCAGTCAGAGTTCATTGGATCATGACTGGACACCTGACCTAAGCTGGACCAATCAGAATCTCACTCCCAGGAACTGGGCGGGTACAAATAGCCAGAAGCGAGGACAGGTACACTTGGGCCAGATAGGATGCCCGGTCGTGCAGAAAGCAGAGAGAGAAGAAAGAGGCAGGAGGAAGGGGGAAAGAGTGGGTTTTAGGTTTAGAATCCCAGTGCCCATCCTGGTAGGAACCGTGGTGCTGATGGCGTGTTTTGTGGGTTTTTTTGTTTTTTTAAGGAGACTCCATGCCCATTGCAGAGCCCAATGGCAGGGCCTGAACTCAGGTTCCAAGATCAAGACCTGAACTGAGATCAAGAGTCAGACAACCAACTGAGCCAATCAGGCACCCGGGTGCTGGTAGCATTAACGGTGGCATTTCTCAATCCGGATTCTGTAAGACACCTGGGGTTCTCATAACCAATTGTCATTTAGGGCTTAAGCTTGATGAGGGAGTTCCTGATACTTGCAACCAGAAGCATCTTTCCTGGGAAAACTTGAATGCTGGTTACTCTGTGCCCTGCCCTGGTTCTGAACACTCCACTGCCTTTGTCAATGAGGGTTTCTTTCCAAACAAGTTTTGTCTTGAAACGTATTTTTCTCTGATGATAGAAGTTATAAATGAATTATTCAATATTAATTTTGCCAAACACTTTGCTGTACACTTTATTCACATTATCTCACTTGATCTCCAAAACAACACTGTGAGGTAGACACTTCCATTTCCATTTTGCAGAGGAGACAACAGATGCAGAGAAATTGATTTGCCAAAGGTCACTCAGCTAGCAAGAAGACAGCCAAGAACCAAATCCTGGCCTGGCTGACCCCCAAAGCGTTGTTTCTGTCCTTAATCATCATGATAGGCTGCATCCTACTAAAAAAATAAATAAAATTTTACGGCGAGAATGATCAGCCATCAGCTTAGCATCCCAGTTACAAACATTGCTTATACTTGGTGTATTTCTTTATGGTCATATTTTTCTATGCTTATGAATATTTTTGCAGAGTTCTTTGGGTTAAAGTATTTTAAAAGCAGATGTTGCACTGTGCTTTAAAATGTTAACACTAGATCATGAATGGTTCCCTACATCATTAAATCTCTTCTCGAACACAACAGCTACATAATATTCTGCTATAGTTGGGGGGGGGAAACGAAGTTACTCAACTTTTTCCCATTCGTAGATTTAGTTTTTCCACATCTAAGTTGTTTTCCTGCCCTTTGTTGAATTTGAGTATTTTGGGTGGTTGGTTTATTAGCTATACTTTTTTTGCCTTTTTGGTGGATTCTCTAGGGTTTACCTTTGGCTTACCCCAGTCTACCTTCAACTATTACCACACTACCTCATGTGTATACGAGAATCTTACAACAACCTTAGAACATTTCCCTTTGTGCTCTTGTTGTCGTAGGTATTACTTTTTTCAAAACCCCACAGCACGTTGCTATTACTTTTGCTTTGGATTGCCAAATATTTTTAAACGATTAAAAATAAGAAAAGAATGTTTTGTATTTATCCTCGTATAGGATTGGCAATGTTTCTTTCTTCAATGTTTGATAGAATTGACCAGTGAAGCCATCTGGGCCTGGAATTTTCTTGGTGGAAAGCTTTTAAAGGGGCACTTGGGTGGCTCGGTCTGTTAAGTGTCTGCCTTGGGCTCAGGTCATGATCCCAGGGTCCTGGGATCGAGCAGGGCGTCTGGCTCCCTGCTCAGCGAGGAGTCTCCTTCTCCCTGTCCCTCTGCCTGCCCCTCCCCCTGCTTGTGCTGTCTCTCTCTCAAATAAATAAATAAAATCTTAAAAAAAATAAAGTATAAATTCAGTTTCTTTGATTCACATAGGGTCATTCATGTTGTCCATTTCCTCTTGGGTCACTTTGGGTAATTTGTGTCTTTGGAGGAATTTACCCATTTCATTTAGGCTGCCAATTTGATGGGCATAAAGCCCTTCATGATATTTCCTTATGATCTTTTTTCTTTTTTTTCCTCCAAAATGTGTTTATTGGGATAGTTTCCCACTTATCTTGATTCAGGGTGCTTTTAGCGCTGCCTCTGTCTGAAGGAGAATCCTGCTGGAAGCCTTGCTTTTCCTCCTGTAGGCTAGCAAAGGACAGTGGAGCATCCTGGGCACTTCACGTCCATGAGTAGGAGTTGGGGCTCTGCACCAGGTGCTCCATCTTGTGTTTCCTCTATCCTCTGCCCGGGACGGGTGGAGGAGGTCCTTCGAGAGGGGCATGTTCTCATGGGGAGGTCATCACCACTGGAAAGGCTCCTAATTATCTTTTTAATGTATTCGGATTGATAGTGATGTTCCTCTTTCGGTAATTACCTTGGTAATTTGTGTCCTTGTGTTTTCTTGATCAATGTAACTAAAAACATATCATTGTTTGTCCCTTGCTTTGTAATGTCTCTTTTTTCTGCCTGGTTTTAAGACTTTCTCTTTATTGCTGATTTTCAGCAACTTGATTATGTGTTATTATGGTTTTCTTATGTTTATTCTATTGGGGCTCATTGAACTCGAACCTGTGGATTTTTATCAAATTTGGAACATTTGGGGCAGTTTTTCCTCTCAGTTTACGTACATCACATCGTTTCTCATCCTTGCTGTCTCCACCATGGTTCCCATCTCTGCATAAAATCCAAAGTCCTTCCTACAGCCAGCACCAACTACCAGACACAGAAGTGTGACTGCATGGGTCAAGCCGTAAGATGACAGCAGCTGTCTGAATGATCCCACACAAGACCAGCCGAAGAATCATCCAGAACCACAACCTCTAGGCTCATTACAACGAGTAAAGTTTGGTTCTATTGCATTCAGTTCTATTGCACCGGATTATTTATTATGCAGAAACAGATCATTGATACATTTACTATGGCCTGTGATTCCCTTCATGATCTGGCTCCCTCCTAGCTCCCTTCCTCACCTCCCTTCACTCTCCCTCCCATTCTGTCCAGCGCACTCTCTTACTTGCTGTTCCCCAAACAGACCAGCTCTGCCTGGAGCCTCCTCCCTGAGACAACCACAAGGCTCGCTTAGTTATAGAGCCCCGACCTGGCACTTGCTATACGCTTTACCCTGCCTTTCTCCGCTCCATATCATGTATCACCACCTGACCTGTTATGCATCGATTTGCTTTGTGTGCCTAATAATTTTTTATTAGATGCTGGGCATTGTTGTGTGTCTCTCCCACCAGGACAGGGAGCCCCACATGGGCAGAGATCAGGTCTGTCTTATTCGGAGCTGTGTCCCAGCTGCTGAAACCATGCCTGGTCCATGACAGGTGCTCAGTAAATATTTGTTGAATGAGTGAATATCTACCCAGTCTTCATTAGCTCAGAAGCCACATCCAAGGAACTTCAGAAACACAGATTCCCCCTCCCCCCAGTTCAGGGCCCAACCCTGCTCTAAAAGTACAGGGAATGGTGCTTACACATTCCGGATCCATTCCAATCCAATCCTCATCCCACAGCCCAGGTCCTGCTTTCACTCACCTCCTGTCACTCCTGTTACTTCATTCCAGCTACTACCTGCAACCTTGTCATGACACTGCCCCTGCTCTCACGACCATGGACCCAAACTCCACTGAGGAGTGGGAGGATACCACCACCTTAGGGATCTAGAGTAGGGTGGCTTGGACACTGAGATGTTAGACTCTTAGCATTTCCCCTAACACAGCTCTGCCACATCTGGGCATGCAGGTGTGGCCAAGTGGTCTGTTTGCTGACGGTTTCAACCAACAGCCCCCAGTTCTCACAAGAACCACCTTGTCCTCCAGATACAGACCTTGTTGCAGGGGTTAGCTCATTGGGACTGACTCTGCTTCTCTCAGGGTAGATGTCATCCTTGGGAGACCCAAGATTCCCTCACCCCCTGGCTATAGGCTCCATGAAATTGCCCCCAGATCACCGCAGCAGTCCAGGTATGTCTGAATCAGGTCATTGCCAACACTGGCAATCTTTCTCCAGGCATATTCTTAGCTCTCAAGTCAGGAAATTCAAGGGGCGTCTGGGTGGCTCAGTCGGTTGAGCGTCCAACTCTTGGTTTCAGCTCAGGTCATGATCTCAGGGTTGTGGGATTGAGCCCTGCGTCGGGCTCCTCACTCAGTGGGGAGTCTGCTTCTCCCTCTCCCTCTGCCTCTCCCCTTGCTTATCTCTCTCTCTCTCTCTCTCTCAAATGAATAAATAAAATCTTAAAAACAAAACAAAACAAATAATGTTTTTAATGCACGGAGGAAAGATGGCCAGTGTTAAAGAAAGGATGGGGAAGAGCATGGTCCAGGAAGGCGCTGGCTGGAAACAGCCTCTGGCGGGCGAGGACGGCATCCAGCCAGAGTGGAGCAAAGGACTCTGACGAGGCGGCTGTGGATGAGGCAGGTGGGATGGGGCCATG